GAGGGGGGGGGGGGAGGGATGGCCGCTTAACGATACAAAGCCGGACGCGCGCTTATCCGTGCTCGCCGGCGAATCTGTCTCTGCCATCCGTGCGCTTTTTACGAATCTACATGTGTGCGTGTATCTGTGAGACACGCGAGGGCGTGCGTTTACGATGGGTACTTACCGGAGTTGTAATATTCCTTAAAGTAGCGCGTCGCCGCACGTTGGACGATCGAGTAATACAAGTTCACGTACGACGTCGACTGGTTCTGCGCCGAGAGCGCCATTTACACTGTATTATCTCCGCGCGCGGGTCACCGTGTATGCATATAAATATGTAATATCGTGCGCGTGTATGTTTCACGCGCGCGTACGCGGATCACGACGCGCGTGTGGCGCGATATAGTAAAGCGCGGCACGGCAACGTGCGAGAGCGCGCGGCGCGGCGCGGCGCCCGGTCTCGTCGGCTTGCTCCTGCTCTTGCTATGCTGTCGCGCGGCGACGATCCTCCTCCTCCTCCGCCTGCTTCTTCTTCTTCGACGCCTCTTTTTCTTTTTTCTTCTGCCGTTCCTGCTGCTTCGTCTCCTGTCTTATCTCTCTCTCGTCGTCGTCGTCGTCGTCGTAGTCGTCGTAGTCGTCGTTGTCCTTGTCGTCGTCGTCGTCGTCGTCGTCGGCGGTTTCCTCTTCTAGATCCGCGGCCGTAAAACTTTTCTTATCGTTGGCGCGCCGTTCTACGTTCGTTCTTGTACGGCCTTTAGACAGCAGCGAGACGGTCTCGCATGCTGGGAAACGGCCCGCGACTTTAATCCTCGCCACACTCGCTTTCGGGTTACCCGCGCCGGTAGACACAATCTCGGTAGACTCGGCCTGAGCCCCCCCGAGTAACTCGCCAAGACCGAGACACTGGCGAGCGCTCTGCGGCGTTGCCACACTTCCGTCGTCGCGGTGCACGCGCGATCAGAGTGGGGATTTCTGGACTGGTTCGGGTTTGGGATGGTAGAGAATATCGGGAGAGGACGCGAGAGCGGAGAAGGTGCCGTTGCGACGGCGGCGGCACCGACGGCTGCAGGGGCGGATGCGTCGCGTCGTGTCATTTCCCGCTTGCCTCGCCACTACACTTTAAGCCCACGAGTCTCACACACAAATGTAGATTAGATTAATTTTTATCTAAGAATTAGAAAGTTTTTTTTTTTCAAGTCTGAGAACTAAAAAAAGATTAAAAATAAATTGAACCAAGACTTGAGTTAATCTTATTTGTGGAATCGAGCGTAAGGGGATTCTAAAGTCATCTGTGTCTTTCTTACCGATTATTTTTCAAGTATTTTTCTAGTTGTCTTTACACAGATTTAAAAATCCTTTTCCACAATTAAAGTGTAAACAGTAGTGTAGTCGACAAAAATGAAAAAAGTTGGAAAATTGAAGTTTTGTTATCGGCTTTTGGCGTCGACTAGTACCAATGTTTGCTTTATATACTTTGTGTAAAACATCTTGGTTTAGATTAGAAATTACATGAACAATATTGAGTCCTTAGAATTAGGCTTAAATATCTTATGAAAGATTAGTTGGAAATTTTGTATGTATGTGAAATATTAATGTAGTAATGATGTGTCAATGACACGTAAATTGTATGTATGCAAGTTCTACTGAATCGGTAAAACAGATGACTTTAGGATCCCTTTAATTCAAAGTACAGATGTAAAGGAGGAAAAGTTATTTAATATATCAATTTTTACAAATGCAATTCAATTTTATTCATAATTCAACTCTTTGTCCTTTTTTAATTATAAGAATTAAAAAAAAGATAATAAAACATTAACTGAGATTAAAATTAGTCTACATTGGTAGAAATAGGCATAAATGTGTGGACGATTTAGCGATGAAATCATGCAACACTCTTGTTTTTAACTTATCGGCACAATCTGCTGTTACATAATTTTTTAGTATATTAAACTTCTTTTTCTTCTAGTATCTTGTGTCGATTTAATCGTATTGCTCCGATTTGGATGTCTCTGTAGGTCTATCTCGATACTTTAGCAAGAAATAAGAATGACTAGACCTCGAAGAATATTGAAATTAGAATTCCATAATTATAAGGAGTCATTCATCTCTCGTACCTTCAATTCGACAAAGTACGTTCTGATAATTAGTTACTAATCATCCTTAACAGAGAAAGCGCTATAAATTTTCTATAAACTTATTCAACCTCATGAGAGATGAAACAATTAATGTTGCTTCTTGGATCCCATTTGAATTCGAATTCATATGAAACATATTCAATCTAGTGTCAATCAACTTTTGTTTGAATCTTTTAATTTATATGATTGGTCAATTCTTATTATCCCGACTATCGGAGAAATTGGTGGAGGAAGCCGAGGCACGGGTAGCCGAGATTCAGCGTTCGTTCCTGAGGAGAGGAGGTTGGTGGCGGTGATGGTGGTGGCGGTGGTGGCGGCAGCGATCAGTGGTGGTGGAGAACGAGACGACCGGCGAGGACCGACAGCAGGAAGGGGAGGGTCGAGAGGAGGCGAAGCGAGGAAGTTATATTCGTTGAACCGGTAGAAGGGGTTTGATACCGCGCCGTCGGGGGACGACGGTCTACGCGGTGGGGGGCGGCCTTTCGGTGTAGGGGAACGATCGAGTTGGCGGGGAAACTGTCCGATCGCTTTACCTCTCTCTCCTCCTTTCTCTCGGGCCATCAGACGTTCCTCCTCCATTCCCTCCGTCTCCCTACCTCACCACGCGATCCTCTCACACTCCCAGCGAGCCGACGTGTACCCCTCAATGCGCGCTGCGCCGTGATGCATCGCGCTGGCGGCGGCATCGCCTCTGCGAGTCACAAGGTATGCTCGTGCCGCGAATACGAACTGCCTCTCCCAAATCAATATCACTCGTCGAAAAAAAAAAGGGGGAAAAAGAAAGAAAGGAGAGAGAGAGAGAGAGAAAAAAAGACGACTCGGCACCTATAATTGCCGAACTTCCGCGATAACCGTCTCCACTCTCTGTCCCCGGTCTTGCCCGCCGAT